TCAATTCCGTCTTTAGCGTCGATTAGCGTCTGGGGGTCGATGAGAGAACGCCGATTTAGCGTCAGTTAGCGTCGGGTTAGCGTCGATTAGCGTCGACTAGAGTCGATTAGCGTCAATTCGCAAGAGCCGACAAGATGGTATGGGAGGCTCCCATGAGTTGCCACCGAACATGCGCCCTGGTTCGCTGGGGTCGTGCCTCAGATCGCTCTGAGACTCTCCCGGGTCGCTAGGGGGGCTTGGCGTCGCTCGGACGTGTACGTGTTTTCCCTCGGCGAGGGCCCTGGACGGGAATCTAGGACCATGGTCGAACAATCGACGCACGAAGTAAAGAAATGCACGGGGAATCAAGTAGCAAATCATGGGAGCCTGGTGTACCCTTTCAATTCCGTCTTTAGCGTCGGTTAGCGTCGATTAGCGTCTGGGGGTCGATGAGAGAACGCCGATTTGGCGTCAGTCAGCGTCGGTTAGCGTCGTTTTAGCGTCGATTCGCGTCGACTATAGTCGATTAGCGTCAATTCGCAAGAGCCGAAAAGATGGTACGGGAGGCTCCCATGAGTTGCCACCGAACATGCGCCCTGGTTCGCTGGGGTCGTGCCTCAGATCGCTCTGAGACTCTCCCAGGTCGCTAGGGGGGCTTAGCGTCGCTCGGACGTGTACGTGTTTTCCCTCGGCGAGGGCCCTGGACGGGAATCTAGGACCATGGTCGAACAATCGACGCACGAAGTAAAGAAACGCACGGGGAATCAAGTAGCAAATCATTGGAGCCTGGTGTACCCTTTCAATTCCGTCTTTAGCGTCGGTTAGTGTCGATTAGCGTCTGGGGGTCGATGAGAGAACGCCGATTTAGCGTCAGTTAGCGTCGGTTAGCGTCGATTTAGCGTTGATTCGCGTCGACTATAGTCGATTAGCGTCAATTCGCAAGAGCCGACAAGATGGTACGGGAGGCTCCCATGAGTTGCCACCGAACATGCGCCCTGGTTCGCTGGGGTCGTGCCTCAGATCGCTCTGAGACTCTCCCGGGTCGCTAGGGGGGCTTGGCATCGCTCGGACGTGTGCGTGTTTTCCCTCGGCGAGGGCCCTGGACGAGAATCTCGGACCATTGCCGAACAATCAACGCACGAAGTAAAGAAATGCACGGGGAATCCAGTAGCAAATCATGGGAGCCTTGTGTGCCCTCGCAATTCTGTCTTCAGCATCGGCTGGCGTCGATGAGCGTCTGGGAGTCGATGAGATGGCGCCGACTTGGCGTCGATTCAGCGTTGCTCAGCGTCGACTTTGCGCCGGCGCGCATCGATGCGCAAGAGCCGACATGGGGGGCTCCCACGAGTCGCCGTCGAAACGGGAGATGCACGTCCGAGCGATGGCAAGGGGGGCGGGGGCACCCAGGGGCGCGGGCCGGGGCCGTGGACTCGCCGCCCCCTCGTCGGCACGGCCCCCGGCGAAGGTCAGGAGGGAAAAAAACACACAGACACAATTAATCCTCGATTCCCAAGAAAATATGGGAAAATATGGGAAGTGGGGGGGAAGACAGAAACCTTGAAAATATGGGAAAATATGGGGAACCTTTTTATTTGTGTGTATTTATTTGTGTGTCCTGGGGCCCCTTCAAAAAAGCGCGTGGGCAAGGCAAGTTGCGAGCGTGCGAGCAGCGCCAAGCGCGTCAGCTGGCGGACAGGAGGCGCCACACGCGCGACAAGACAGCGACGACGCGCGACGATCCGGGAGGAAGGAGCCGTGCACTTCTCCTTGGGGTGCCCTCGAGGGCTGTCCCAGCCTGGGTGCGCTCTCGGCAGTGTGGGCCCCCCCCCCGCCCTCCGTGCCACTAGCCTTTGGCCTCAGCCGGATGCTGCACGGGGCACACCAGGCCAGGGTCTGGCCTTCCGAGAGCGCCTGCGCCGTCGATGGACTATGGTGGCTCTCCAGGGGTCACCGCGCGGGCGCTTGTTCCTTGAATGGGCCCGGTCACGAACTCCACAGGGTCGCCAGCACTGTGGAAGGTCTCCGGTACACACACATCCAGTCAAACGGATATTCGGCCAGATTGATGGGAGGTTACGACTGCTGTTTTCGCGCTTCCAGACCAAGCCCGGGTATTGTACTCTGTTAGTTCTCTCGGCCCCGTGGACACCCCTCGAGAGCCGCCAGAGGTTTTGCAGGTCCAGAGAGCACCGCAGTGTCCGCGAACCCGTGGGCCACCGCGCCAGGGGTGGGCGCGGCAGTGCTGGCGAGAAGGCGAGGACCAGGCAGCCGAGGGTTTCTGGTCAGTTACGCGAGGGCAGGGGACCCATCCCGTACCTGCCGTCAGCCATCCTCTGGATGGTCCGTCGGCGCGCTGCAGGAGGAGGGCTTGCCCTGCCTGCACCTGGGCCGTTGAGGCTTGGAGCCTGCGCGCCTCTCCTCCGGCCCTAGTTATCGCTGAGCCGGGCGCCATGGGTCAGGAAGGCAATCATCGGGTTGGGAGGATGGGGCGGCTGGGAGAAAGGAGGACATCCTTACCCGTAGGCGGCCGAAGGTATCGTTCATTGCATCCGGATGCTGTTGCTCATATCGGGAACTGGAACATATACATACCAGTGGCGGGCGGTTGTTCAATCCCAGGACTTTTTTGAGGGTCGGGGACGACGTCGGAGTGGTGTGGTGTACACTTTTTTCCCCGCTTCGCCGTGGAAACAGGAACAAATGTCTACACCAGGAGGCCTTATGCACCAGAATCCGGTTTCTCGTGCGAATCTCAGTGTGGGACCAGAAAGAATCATCGGTGTATAAAGTTCGGTTCCTTCTCATGCCCTCCGTCCTCCCAAAACCCATCCTCCCAACACGTTAGGTGTTCTCCCCAGTGGAAAAACATCGGTGTATAAAGTTCGGTTCCTTATCGTGCCCGTCGTCCTCCCAAAACCCATCCTCCCAACACGCTAGGTGTTCTCCCCAGTGGACAAGCATCGGTGTATAAAGTTCGGTTCCTCATTTAAAACAGGGCTAGGATCGGGATAAATCGCTCCAGAGCGTTCCGGAGCGCTCTCAGAGCTTTCCGGAACGCTCTGGAGCGGCCGCGGCGCCCAATACATCCTCCCAACCCGCCGATTCTCAGAGATTTCGAGTTATCTCGATCCGATTTTGTCCCGATCTTCGGGTCGTTTTATTATCGTGCCCTTCTCAGGAGGGAAAGAAACACACAGACACAATCAATCGTCGACTCTCCAGAAAATATGAGAAAATATGGGAATTGGGCGGGAAGACAGAAATCCAGAAAATATGGGAAAATATTGGGAATCATTTTATTTGTGTGTATTTATTTGTGTGTCCCAGGGCCCCTTCACCTTCGTCCTCCCGAAGCCCCCTCCTCCCAGCGCGAGGAGCGGGTCGCCTCTCCATGGGGGCCGGGCCCGGGGCAGGCGGCGGGGGCCCTCGGAGGCTGCCTCCCGGGAGGCATCCTGGGCACGCCGCCGTCCCGGTGCAGACTCCACGTGCCTGTTCTTTGAATCGGGGGCGGAAAAGAGGGGGGTGATGACTAGGGGGGGGTGGATATCATGGCGGGGGCCATGATATCTCCCCAGATTTCAGGGCACCTCTTCTTATTTCATTACGTCCCTGGCCCCCCCGCTGGGCCGCGCACATGCCGCCGGTCATGATTTGCCCCCCCCCCCCCCCCTCTTGGACACCCCCCTCTTGGCCGCTCCCGATCTTTGAATGTCCCCGAGGGTAGCCCGTGCTTCAGGAGGGGAACAAAAAAACACACAGACCCAATTCATCGCCGATCCCCCCGAAAATATGGGAACATATGGGAAGGAGGGGGGGAAGACAAAAACCCAGAACATATGGAACAGCGGCGGCCTAGCGTCCCGGCTCGAAGCGTCCCGGCTCGAAGCGTTCCGGCTCGAAGCGTCCCGGCTCGAAGCGAGGTCAAGCAGTGGCGAAGCGTCCCAGCTCGCCTATAGTACTACCAAGCAATGTTCTAAGAACCTTTTGTGGTCCCCACGAGATGTTATTAGAACAGTTCTGTTTGGGACTGTCTTGTTTTATCGCATCGGGCTCATGTTCTAAGAACATGGTTTTTGTTATTAGAACATTTTTGGGTTCTAAGAACATGTCGTGGTAGGACTATAGAAATGCCGGGACGGTCGGTCCCTGCTCAACGAGGGTAACCCGTGTTACCCGTCCCCCCAGACCCCCCTTCATGACGGTAGCGCTTGCAAGCGGGCCACAAGCGTGAATCGTTGCAGCTTCCAAGGGACGTCTTCATAAGCTCCAGCAGCAGGCGTTGTGGCGTACATAAGCTCGCGGTGCAGTAGGAGGATATCATAGGAGGAGGGGCAGGACGATGACGAGGAGGAGGCGGAGAGGGAGTAGGAGGTGGGATGGGGGAGGGCCTCCCGAGTCTGCGGCGAGGGGTTAAGATTCTAACGACACTGACCTGCAGGTTTGGCTGCCCTGGTCACCCCGAATCGTTCCTCCACTGCCTCTCCTGCCCCCGCGTGCTTCACCCCGTGGCCCTGCCCCACCTGCACATCCCCACCGTCCTGCCTTCCTGTGGCCCGGCCTCGGGATGGAGGCTCACGATCGAGACTGCCCACAATCTTGTCAGATTGGCGTACCTGATCTTGCATAAGATCCACGCAGCGCTTTCAGTAATCCTATCGCGGCTCGGCCACTATGCTCACCACGTTTCGAAACGGCATGCTCCCCCCGTTCGTCGGGAACCTGCCGGCACTCCCATTGAACGTCGTTCCTCCTCCTTTTCCTCCTCCTCCTCTTCCTCCTCCTCCTCCTCCTCTTCATGCTACTTGTTCTCTCCTGCTCCTCCTCCTCCTCCTCCTCCTCTCCTCCTCCTCCTCCTCCTCTCTCCTCCCTCCCTCCCTCCTCCCTCCCTCCCTCCCTCCCTCCCTCCCTCCCTCCCTTCCTCCCTCGTTGTTCCTCCCCTCCTCCCTCTTCCTCCTCTTCCCTCGCCTCCCCTCTCCTCCTCCCTGCCTCCCCGCCGCCGCCGCGTGCCGCCTCCTCCGCAGGAGCTGCCGCGCGACCGGGCGCCCGCGGGCGAGCGCGGGGCCCCCGCCGACGTGGCGTGGGAGGAGCTGGCGACCCTCAGGCGGGCGCCTCCTGCCCGGCGGGCGGCCCGGCGGCGGACAGATCCGCTCCCCCTGCGGCGGCCATCCTCCCTTGCCGCCTCGTTCCTCCTCCTCCTCCCGCCTCCTCCTCCTCCTCCTCCTCCTCCTCCTCCTCCTCCTCCTCCTCCTCCTCCTCCTCCTCCTCCTCCGCCTCCTCCTCCTCCTCCTCCTCCTCCTCCTCCTCCTCCTCCTCCTCCTCCTCCTCCTCCTCCTCCTCCTCCTCCTCCTCTCTCCTCCTCCTCTCTCCTCCTCCCGCGGGGTCGTGCACCGCCTGCCCCCGACTATCCCCGGCGCCTGCGGCGTGGCGCGCCCAGCGGGGCGGCGGAGAGCCCGGCGGGCGACGCCGCGGGGTCGAGGGCGCAGACGACGACGACGACGACGACGACGACGACGACAGGGACGACGACTACGACGACTACGACGACAGACGACGACGAGGACGACGATGACGTTACGACAACTACGACGACTACGACGACAGACGAGGACGACGACGACGTTACGACGACGACAGACGACAGACGACGACAGACGACGACGACAGACGACGACGACAGACGACAGACGACAGACGACCACGACGACAGACGACAGACGACGACAGACGACGACGACAGACGACGACGACAGATGACGACGACGACGACGAGGACGGCGTCAACGAGGACGACGACGACGACGTCGTTGCAGCCCCGACCGCGGTGACTACCTCCAGCCCGACCGAACCCAGCGGGGACGTTGCGAGCGTCAAGGGCGCCCTCGAGGGCTCGAGGTTCTCCGCGCCCCGCGATTCGCAGTTCGGCTCCGACTCCTCCTCGTCCTTCTCTTCTCCTCCGGGGGGCGGCGCGATTGCGCGAGGTCATTCGCGCTTCGCGTTTCGCGCAGCCCGATGCGCGAAGTTCGGCGCGACCGAATCCCGCGGGGCCGTCGCGGGGGTCCTGCTCGATCCTGCCTGCAGCGCCAAGCGCGACGGCCCGACCAGGAGCCGCAGGGCCACGGCCGCCGACGTCTCCGCGATCAGCGCGGCGGCGGCAGCACCCGGGGGCGACCGCGCTGCGCAGCCTGCCCGACCCCGCCTCGGATGGTGCCCCGATCTTCGCGATGAAGGTCGCCGCGGTCGTCACAGGTCGCCGTCGCCGATGCTGCCGCGACCAGCGTGGCGGCGGCAGCAAGACGGGGGCGACCGCGCTGCGCAGCCTGCCCGACTCTGCCTCGGATGGTGCCCCGATCTTCGTGCGGCAGGACGCCGCGGTCGTCACAGGTCGCCGCCGCGACCTGCGAGGCGGCGGCGGGGCGATCGCGCTGTGCAGCCTGCCCGATCCCTGCCTCGGATGCTGCCCCGTTCTTCGCGCTGAAGGGCGCCGCGGTCGTCCTCTTCTTCCTCCTCCTCCTCCTCCTCCTCCTCCTCCTCCTCCAGCGCAGATCCAAGAAGTCCGCGCGGCGCGCCAAAAGTTTACCTGGCGTTCATCCTTCTTCGAGCCAAAGAGGGCACCAGAGAGCCACCTCACGGGGACAGAGTGCTCCCAGACACCGCCGGAGAGGCCCCGAGAGACCGCCGAGGGCCTCCGAGAGCCCGAGAGGCACTCGAGGGACCCGTGAGGCTCTGCGGGGGGACCCTGCGGAGAACCGCCGGGGCACGCGCCGAGGGGAGGCCCCCCAAGCGGCACAGGGAGCCGGCGGGACGCCTCCTCGTCCTCCTCCTCGTCCTCCTCCTCCTCCTCCTCCTCCTCCTCCTCCTCCTCTTCCTCCTGCCTTGTCCTCTCTCCTCCGCCTCCTCCCCTCCTCCTCCTCCTCCTCCTCCTCCTCCTCCTCCTCCTCCTCCTCCTCCTCCTCCTCCTCCTCCTCCTCCTCTTCCTCCACCTCCTCCTCGGCACAACCTGGGGGCGAACAGCGTCTGTCCACCACCAGCCGAACTCCTCCTCCTCCCTCCTCGTCCTCCTCTCCTCCTCCTCCTCCTCCTCCGCCCCCTTGGCCTACTCGTCCTCCTCCTCCTCCTCCTCCTACTCCTCCTCCTCCTCCTCCTCCTTTTCTCCTCCTCCTCCTCCTCCTCTTTCTCCTCCTCCTCCTCCTCCTCCTCCTTCCTCCTCTCGTCCTCCTCCTTCTCCTTCTCCTCCTCCTCCTCCTCCTCCTCCTCCTCCTCCTCCTCCTCCTCCTCCCCCTCCTTCTCCCCTCCTCCTCCTCCTCCTCCTCCTCCTCCTCCTCCTCCTCCTCCTCCTCCTCCTCCTCCTCCCCCTCCTCCTCTCTCCAACTCGTTCTCCTCTTCCTCCTCCTCCTCTTCCTCCTCCTCCCTCCGACTCCGTGCATGGCGCCAGATCGGCGCAGCTGCCTCGGAGGGGATTTGGGTGCGCAGAGGGGGTAGGGTTAGCAAGGCGTGGGGAAGACATCGGGCTGGAGAGCGATAGCGGCGGCGCTGGCAGCGCCACCAGGGTAGTTGCGGACTCTGCGAGGCTGTTCAAGTTGAGTACAAACCCATCGCTCGTTGGGCGTGGGTATCTTTGGAATGTCAGATTCCAAATCTATCGCAGGCGCTTTCCTATTTCAAGAGTGGATCGGCTTTCCCTTTTTCGCCTTCTTCAGAGGAAGTGCGGAAGCCCAATCTAGTTCCAACGCCTTCTTGTTTCATGCTTGAATCCGCCCCTCCCGAATGATTCGCATTTTCCATTGCGGCCCGCGCCCATGCAGCGAAGCTAAAAAACATGACCCCGTTTCCCAGACCCCCGACGTCATGATTTTGTTCACAGCGTCGACGCCTGGAGGTCTTCTGCCATCCCCCGAGACTGGCTTTTCATGTTGCTTTGATTTTTGACGGTGCCTCCTCCTCCTCCTCCGCCTCCTCCTCCTCCTCCTCCTCCTCCTCCTCCTCCTCCGCCTCCTCCTCCGCCTCCTCCTCCTCCAGGGCCCAGCGAGGCCCCCGAGAGGCCGCAGCGATGCCAGACACCTCCCCGAGGGCGGCTGCTCTGCGCGCCGCGGCGTGGGCGCCGAAGACAGGCCCGGCCCGCCGGCAGTCCCCCCACTCCTCCTTCCGCTTCCCCTTTTGCCTCTCCTTTTGCCAGCCTCTTCGGACCTCGTGGATCCTCCACCTCCTCCTCCTCCTCCTCCTCCTCCTCCTCCTCCGCCTCCTCCTCCTCCTCCTCCTCCGCCTCCTCCGCCTCCTCCGCCTCCTCCGCCTCCTCCGCCTCCTCCGCCTCCTCCGCCTCCTCCTCCTCCATCTCCTTCTCGTCGCGCCCCCTCCCCCGCTACAGGTATACCAAGTTCACGCTGGAGGGCTTCCCAGGCGAGAAGCACGCGGTGTTCATCTCGGACCGCCTCGCCCTCAACGCCGAGGCGTTCGAGTGCATCTGCGAGGCCCCTCAGCTCGTCGCGTGGCGACGACGACGACGACGACGACGATCCCGACAGCGGCGGTGAGACACCCACCCCAGAATGAGAGAGGCCCGTTGCGGTCGACATTTGCTAGCACCCTGCGCATCATCAGTTTTGGAGGACGAGTTCGGTCAGGGCACTCTCAGCGCATTCTTTCGTCTTGCCTTATGGGCCGAGATGATGTGCTCAGCCGCCAGACATGCTAGAATCAATGTGCTGATTCAGACCGCCGAGGACCCGTCCACCAATTTTCTTGCCATCAAAAGCCATCGGCAGGGCGGCGCGGCGACAAGCTGATAGAGTAGCTCAATGCACCTGGCGCCCGCATCATCTCGGCAAGCTGTTCCTTGATATTGATCCGCTAGCGGGGGCGGTGGAGCTGCGCGACCTCGTCGAGCTTGCTAGGCGGCCGAGTTCGGTCCACGCGACGATGTCCATGAGGAACGGAACGGACTTCGACGCGCAATTGCCGATGCCGGTTTCGGACAGATGCGAACGAGGAGCTGCGCGGCGCTATTTTGCGGAGTAGATTGCGGTCTCCTTTCGAGAGGATGCTTCCTTTGCACGGGGCTCGCTCTGGCGCTTGCGGGGCCGCCCGGACAGAGCCTGGCGCAGCGCTTCGCGCCCTGGGAGAGCACTGGCGGCCCATGTTCGCGGAGAAAACGATCCATGCTGCTGCTGCTGTTGCGGAATGCCTCCGTCTCCATGGGGCAGATGCTGATATTTTTGACCCTCCTCCTCTTTCCCTCCAACTGCCCCAGCAACGCCCTTATACATTAGTTAGAAGATGGCGCTCCAGGACTCGACGGGTTCCCATGCCGGGCGCGGAAGAAGCACCCCCCAGGCCTTCGGCATTGTCGACGGGGCTCTCTCATGGCTCCTCAGTGGGCGCCCTGCGCATCCCCCCTTCGCCGACGCGTCATCACCTGAGGAGGAGAGGGCCAGGATGCGCTTCAGGTTGCACGCCGGGCTTCCCAGACTAGACCTCTGGCGCTGCAACGACCATCCAACAGATTATCACGGGGGCGGTCTTTGAAAGCGCGTGGCAGATCATTGAGCGCGGCGGCGCACTCCTGTCAGAAGGGGTTCGCCGGCGGCAGGAACCGTGGGCTGAACATTTCCGAAGAAGATGTCTGGCCCAGGAAGACGTCGATGCTTCAAGATGTAGGCGCGAGGCCCTGAGCACTGGTTGCCTCCGGCAACGGTCATGCCTCCCCGACAGCGGCTCATCCATGGATCGTGATGTCGCCCGCCTCCCGCCAGTCTGCGCCGAGATTCTCTTCGCCCGAATTCGCTGCTCCGTCTCCTGCGCGAGGGTCTGCGTCCACTTGTTCTCGGGGGTCATTCAAGGGCCCCGTGGGTCTGGCGCCTTCTGCGTCCTTTGCAGCCGTTCGTTCTTGGTAGACTCCATCGGAGGATTGAAGACGATGGTGCTGCTGTTCCTGTTGCGGGTGATCTTTTGGGCCGACCCTGTGAATGGAGGGCGCAATTCGGAGGCCGTCATTAGCTTGGGCTTGCGCGGACGACGTCGGGGCGGTGATGGGCAGGATTAACACGCCGCGCTCGCTGGAGGGCGTCTTCACTTGTGGCGAGGCCCTCGAAGGCTCAGTTCTATCACCGCAAGAACTCTATCGCCCCGTTGGTGGGGCCGTTTTCCCCGACCCTGGCGGTCCAAGACAAGTTCTGGATTAGAATCAGGAGGAAAAGAAACACGCAGACACAATTCATCCTCGATTCCCCTGAAAATACGGGAAAATATGGGAAGTGGGGGGGAAGACAGAAACCCAGAAAATATAGGAAAATATGGGGAATCTTTGTATTTGTGTGTATGTATTTGTGTGTCCTGGGTCCCCTTCATAGAAATCACATGCCGTCCTGGGGCTCGTTCCAGGCGGCCCCGCCCCTCGCGCATGTTGGGGTGATCCGCGGGCCGCGCGTCAGCCCCCGAGAGTTGGCGCGAGCTTTCGGGCAGTTGGAGCTTGCGATCTCCCAGGCTTGACAGATCCAGCTGCCCTGCCTCAGTCACTGAGGATATGTGTGCGCTAGCCGTGCCGTGCCCACGCTTTCAAGCGTTGCTCAGCTATGCATGCTGCGGTCTTCCTGCCAAGCGCTCACCAAGTCTACCGCCCGCGTCGAACACGCCGCTCTTGCCGCATTGCTCTGTGTGCCACCCTGCGTTCTCTCTCGCCGGTCGCGGTTCAAATTTCACAGATGGTGAGGACCCTAATTTGCCATCAGAATGGCTCCCACAGCCGCGGTAGTGATGAGAGCTGCCATCTCATGTTTTCTCGATTATGCGAACTTGCTGGTTCACCTCCTAGAGTCCGCCGCCCGACATTTGCCGCTTGCCGCTTTTTGCCAAGGACAGATGTTCCCGTCTGTGTGGGATGCGGCGTCAATAGTTGAGCTGCTTGGCGAAGCTGCGTGTGGATCCTGTCACCATTCTCGAGCTGGATCGGCTGCGTCGAGATGTTCCCAAGAGTTCGTGGCCCCACCACAGGAAACCGGGAGGCTCTTGAAACCCGTCAAAATTCAGGGCGAGGTTTCTGCAAGCCGAATTGTTCCCAGACAGCCTGGCTATGACGTTTGCGGGACGTTAGTGGGCGCTATTCCTTGGGTTGGTTGAAGTTCTTGGTGTGGTTGATTGGGCACAGATTCGTGATGCCCTTTGTGGGGGCCCAGCTCTTCTCACAAATGCCACATGGAAGACTTCCAGTAGGAGATGGATCACCAGCTTTCGAATGCACGATCAACAGAAGCTGACATGGGTGCCCGGTTTCTCGCAGCCCGACTCTTTTACCCACACTGGTCTTGCCCTCGCTTTCTTGAGCTGTTTTCCCACATTGCCCCTTCTGGCCTTGTGAACCGTTTCGTCGTTATCATGCCCACCGCGTCTGGTGTCTATGTTCCTTCTGCCGCCTCCTTTACATTTTAACCATTTGATTGGTCTGTTCGTGCCTTCCCCGCCACTAAGCTTGGAGAGGGTTTTCGTTGCGTTGCTACTTTGTCGCGCTCAGCTTGAGCGCTCTGCATCGCGGCGGCGGCGGCCCGCGATATGGACGGACACGTGGCGCGCGGCTACGTGCGAGGAGAAGTGGGAAGAGGAGGAGGGGGAGGAGCAGGAGGAGGAGGAGGAGGAGGAGGAGGAGGAGGAGGAGGAGGAGGAGGAGGAGAGGCAGGAGAGGAGAGGAAGGAGGAGAGGAGGAGGAGGAGGAGGAGGAGGAGGAGAGGCAGAAGAGGAGGAGGAGGACGGGGAGGGAGGAGGAGGAGGAGGAGGAGGAGGAGGAGGAGGAGGAGGAGCAGGAGGAGGGGGAGGAGAGGCAGGAAGAGGAGGAGGAGGAGAGGAGGAAGGAGGAGGATAAGGAGGAAGGGAGGAGGAGGGAGGAGGAGGAGGAGGCAGGAAGAGGAGGAGGAGGAGGAGGTGGAGGAGAAGAGGAGGGGGAGGAGAGGCAGAGGAGAGGAGGAGGAGAGGAGGAGGAGGAGGAGGAGGAGGAGGAGGAGGAGAGGCAGGAAGAGGAGGAGGAGGAGGAGGAGCAGGAAGACGAGGAGGAGGAGGAGGACGGGGAGGAGGTGGAGGAGAAGGAGGAGGGGGAGGAGGGAGCTGGACCTCCGAGAGGCCCTGGGCCGGGAGCCCCCCTCCATGGCGCTCTGCGGGCTGGGCTCCGCCTGCCACCCGGCGTGCGTGACCACGCCCGAGCTGCGGGCGTGCCCCGCGTTCGGCTCCTTGGTCGCGGAGGGCAGGAGTTCGAGGCCTCTCAAACGAGTCGACGACACGTAATGGAGGATGACGGTTGATAAATGACCGGGGGTCGTGTTCACGCGGCGGCGCCCGGGATGACGACTAGAAAAAACTGGCCGCGGGCTGGAAAACTATTTTTCCCCACATCCTGAGTGGGGTTCTTGTTTTCCCAGAACATCCTCTCCTCCTCCTCCTCCTCCTCCTCCTCCTCCTCCCGCTTCCTCCACCATCCCATACTGTATCATACCATGCCAATACCATGCCACTCCATACCATACCTTACCATACCATACCATGCATCCACCATCCCATACCATACCATGCCTTTCCTCACACCATGTTATTTATCAGGTTTCGTGCCCCTCCCACCCCTCCAGGGAGGCCCCGCCTGAGCGAGCAGGGTATTCGCACACCATGTTATTTATCAGGTTTCGCGCCCCTCCCACCCCTCCAGGGAGGCCCCGCCTGAGCGGGCAGGGTATTCGCACACCATGTTATTTATCAGGTTTCGTGCCCCTCCCACCCCTCCAGGGAGGCCCCGCCTGAGCGAGCAGGGTATTCGCACACCATGTTATTTATCAGGTTTCGTGCCCCTCCCACCCCTCCAGGGAGGCCCCGCCTGAGCGAGCAGGGTATTCGCACACCATGTTATTTATCAGGTTTCGTGCCCCTCCCACCCCTCCAGGGAGGCCCCGCCTGAGCGGAGCAGGGTATTCGCACACCATGTTATTTATCAGGTTTCGTGCCCCTCCCACCCCTCCAGGGAGGCCCCGCCTGAGCGAGCAGGGTATTCGCACACCATGTTATTTATCAAGGTTTCGTGCCCCTCCCACCCCTCCAGGGGGGCCCCGCCTGAGCGAGCAGGGTATTCGCACACCATATTATTTATCAGGTTTCGTGCCCCTCCCACCTCTCCAGGGAGGCCCCGCCTGAGCGAGCAGGGTATTCGCACACCATGTTATTTATCAGGTTTCGTGCCCCTCCCACCCCTCCAGGGAGGCCCCGCCAGAGCGAGCAGGGTATTCGCACACCATGATATTTATTAGGTTTCGTGTCCCACCCATCCCTCCAGGGAGGCCCCGCCTGAGCGAGCAGGGTATTCGCACACCATATTATTTATCAGGTTTCGTGCCCCTCCCACCCCTCCAGGGAGGCCCCGCCTGAGCGAGCAGGGGCACACCATGTATTTATCAGGTTTCCTGCCCCACCCATCCCTCCAGGGAGGCCCCGCTGAGCCATTCGCACACCATGTTATTTATCAGGTTTCGTGCCCCTCCCACCCCTCCAGGGAGGCCCCGCCTGAGCGAGCAGGGTATTCGCACACCATGATATTTATCAGGTTTCGTGCCCCACCCATCCCTCCAGGGAGGCCCCGCCTGAGCGAGCAGGGTATTCGCACACCATGTTATTTATCAGGTTTCGTGCCCCTCCCACCCCTCCAGGGAGGCCCCGCCAGAGCGAGCAGGGTGTTCGCACACCATGTTATTTATTAGGTTTCGTGCCCCTCCCACCCCTCCAGGGAGGCCCCGCCTGAGCGAGCAGGGTATTCGCACACCATGTTATTTATCAGGTTTCGTGCCCCTCCCACCCCTCCAGGGAGGCCCCGCCTGAGCGGCAGGGTATTCGCACACCATGTTATTTATCAGGTTTCGTGCCCCTCCCACCCCTCCAGGGAGGCCCCACCAGAGCGGGCAGGGTATTCGCACACCATGTTATTTATCAGGTTTCGTGCCCCTCCCACCCCTCCAGGGAGGCCCCGCCTGAGCGAGCAGGGTATTCGCACACCATGTTATTTATCAGGTTTCGTGCCCCTCCCACCCCTCCAGGGAGGCCCCACCAGAGCGGGCAGGGTATTCGCACACCATATTATTTATCAGGTTTCGTGCCCCTCCCACCCCTCCAGGGAGGCCCCACCAGAGCGGGCAGGGTATTCGCACACCATATGATTTATCAGGTTTCGTGCCCCTCCCACCCCTCCAGGGAGGCCCCACCAGAGCGCAGACAAGAAGCAATGGAACCCCGTAACATCTTTATGTGGGGAACTCCGTTAGCATATTTTTTAAAAAACCGTTCTCCTCCAGTCAGAAAATTGTGCAGAAATAGCACAAGACTATTTTTTTATCGTCCTCTCCCATGTTTATTAACCGTCACCCCGCATTAAGAGTGACTCGTCGCCGGAGTGACCTTTGGTGCGGGTTCACCAGGGCCCCCCCGACCGCTGAGCGCGATGCGATAGTGGCGGTTTGCGCCCCTGGACTCGGCCACCTCACGCCCCCCCAGTCCGCTCACTGAAGGTCACTCTCACCCAGGGTCACTCTTGCGTGTCGCCGATCGAGATCCGTGTAGGGGGGTCGCGTTGTCGTGCCGCATCGCCAGTGCATCGCCGATGCGGTTCGATGTGGGCCTCGATTTTCTAAACGCCTGAGTCGCCGATGCGTCGCTGGTGTCGGCCCTGCGTCGCCGCTGCAGCGGCGATGCGGCGTGACCCTTCGACCCCATCTGCTCGGACCCCATTTGGGGGGCCTCCAGGAATTGCCTGGGCATGGCGGCAGGCGTGCGACCCACAGGGGAGGAGCGAGGATCGCGGAGGAGCCCTGAGATCCAGGGCGCTTGCTGTTCTGCCGCACCCTGGCCTCGTCGCCGGGCTGCGAGCCCCGGGAGCGTCACAACAGATGGGTACGGCTCGAGGCATGCAGCCGAAAAGTATGGTGCGGGTCTTTGGTCGCGATGTCCGCGATGTTGCGATTTGCTTGCGAAGTCTGACCCCAGGGGAGGGAGGGATCGAGGCAGGAGTCAGACGAGGAGCATCACACCGATGCGGCTGGCCTTCCCTCGCCGCCACGGCTGGATTCGCCTCGAAACCATGGTCCGAGCGAGCGTTGGGAGAGGTCACGGAGTCGCGGTATGGGTATATTTGTGCTTCCCCAAGGAGGATCGAGTATCCAGGATCGGTGATCGAGGAGGAGAAGGACTGCAGGAGGGAGGCAGGAGGATGGAGGTTCCAGGGTCGAGGATCGAGGGTCGATGCTCGAGCAGGACGAGGGTGGAGGACGAGGGAGCATGAGCATGAGCATGACCATAGGACTAAGTCTATTACATTCGACACTACAAACCGCCCCTGAGCTTGCCGAATCGTACGACAAACAAGAAGGGAACGTACGCCACCACCTACACGGCATAAACTCTTAAATAGTGACGGGCCTAAGTTTACATGAGATCGGTTCGATGCGGCCCTTCTTCATTGACGAGAGAGAAACACCATTGGTCATCGGGCGACCCCTAAAAGGAATCGCCTTCTGCACAGAGCCTCGCCACCTATCAATGCAAAGCCCATACCCAAGTACTAGACCAAAACAAAGTGACCTCCCCCAAGCTCATGTGCAACCACTTGTAAGATGAAGACGTGCCAAACAATGGCAAAGCATGTGGCCGAGGAAAAATGCGGCATGGGGCACCGAGCCCCACGAGTTCCCAATGCATACCAAACACCACACATCTACGGTAGGTTCGCGTCGTGTCGACCGGCGGCGACCCCGGCGTGGGCGTTCAAGGTTGAACGCCGCCGGCGACCCAGAATCGATCGATGTTGAACGATTGGACGTTGCGGAGACGGCCGATCGTTCAAGGTTGAACGATCCCTGCGGTGTCAAAAACCAGCGCTGGGGTCGGCACGACACGAACCCGCCGTAGCCCAACGCTTGAAGTACGACCAGGTGGCAGGAGAGCGGGTCACTGCCGCGGCTCCCCCCGTCGACCCTGCGACCCGGGGCGCATGTCCTCCACGACGATCGTGCCAGCAACACAAGGGCTCCCTCGAGGGCGCGAAGTTATTCGCGCTTCGCGCTTCGCGGTTCGGCTCCGATTCCTCCTCATCCTCTTTTGCTCCCCTGGGAGGCGGCGCGAGAGCGCGAAGTTATTCGCACTTCGCGCTTCGCGCAGCGCGAAGCGCGAAGCTGGGAGCCCTAGCAACACCTGCATGCATGGGATACGCCCAGACCGCAGGCGGGGGGGTCTATGCCACTAGCTCCCCACATTGCCCCTAGGTAGCCTGGGACGGATCACGAAGTCGATGCACAGGAAAGCCAGAAGATTGAGGCACAAAAGGCCCAGCCTGCATCCTGTCAGCACGACAGCGACATGGATGGGGTAGAAAACAAGGTCACACGTGGCCTGCACCGATAAGGTACTGCTGAGGAAGAGCATGCGTGAATTTCTCTTGGTTTTATCCAACCCAATGAAAGCAGCAACACCCACACCAGAGAATGTTGCAGGATCTCCAGGTTGCCACAAGCGCGTCGCGATGAGACGCCGATAGGGGCAATCTGACCAGTTGGAGCCAAACAGGGGGCCGCCCGGTCGCGCGCCGCCTGTGCTTGGAGGAAGATGAGGGAGGATGAGAAGGAGGATGAGGAGGATGAGGAGGAGAAGGAGGAGAAGGAGGAGGACGGGGAGGCGGAAAAAGAATAATAATAAGGAGGTGGAAAAGATTGAGGAAGATCCACGGTCGAGGTTCAAAGGTCGAGGAGGAGGAGGAGGCGGAGGAGACGGAGAGGAGGAGGAGGAGGAAGAGTTGGAGGAGGAGGAGGAGGAGGAGGAGGAGGAGGACGGAGAATGAGGAGGACCAGGATGAGGTGGAGGAGGAAACGGATGATCGAGGCTCGAGATTCCAGGGCCGAGGTTTCCCGATTTTTGTCGCTCCGTTCTGGGCCTCGGGAAGTTTCGCCGCCGCGGCTGAGCTATAATTTCAGTTCTGGTAGGAGTGCACCCCTGGAGAGGTCCCCCTGAAAGCCTCGCGTCGTAAAACAACAAAAAACACGGCGAAGTGTCTTCGGCCTCTCCTCTTGGATGTTTTCGTCGCTTCTTGTAGGCTTCCTCGCCTCGGGACGCCTTCCAGCAGCTGCGCCTCGTCGAGCGCGTTCTTGGGGTGCCCAAATCGTCCTGATCAGCCGCCAGAGGTCCGAGCTACGACACGAAAACTTGTACATCCTCGCGTCGTGGAAAACACGGCGAAAGGTCTTTGGCGGGTGTCGGCCTCCAGGGGCCCTCGCATGGCCTCGCGGCGGGGCCGCCACAGAGCGACGCAGGATGAAAGGCGGGCCCCTGGAAGAGGTCCAGGCCCACGGTCAAGCAGTGGCGAAGCGTCCTGGCTCGCCTATAGGCCCACCGAAGGATGTGTTGAGAGCCTCTTGTGGTCTGCGCGACATGGTCTCAGAACGTTTCTGGCTGAGGCAGCCTTGTTTTATCACATCGAGCTTCTGTTCTAAGAACGTGTGTGGGTATTTCGAACACGTGTGGGTTCCAAGAACATGTCGTGGTAGGTCTATAGGAGTGCTGGGACGGCCGGTCCATGCTCAACACTGGGAGCCACTCTGTGACTAAAATGAAGACGTCGGGTGTTCGTCTGGCTTCGAGGAGGAGGAGGAGGAGGAGGAGGAGGAGGAGGAGGAGGAGGAGGAGGAGGGGGAGGGGGGGGAGGAGGAGGAGGAGGAGGAGGAGGAGGAGGAGAGGAGGAGGAGGAGGAGGAGGAGGGTCGGCTTCGAGACTGCTTGGGTGCTCGGACGTGGCAGCAGAGGCAGCGACGACCGGGGCTCGTGGGGCGGCCTGGGCAAGAGCCTGAGCAGCCTGAAGAGCCTGGCGTGGGGGAGAAGGGGCAGCGACTACGAGGCCCTGGGGACGGAGCTCACGGCGGTCGAGAAGGCCGAGAACGACCGCGTGAAGGCGAAGGAGCCAAGGCTTCGTGTTGCGCACAGGCAGCCTCCTCCGAGCAGCCTCACCAGGCCCCCCGAGTCGCCCAGGGCGCCCTCAACACCTCAACCCTGGGACCCTGGGGCGCGGAGCGCCCCAGGGGCGCCACCGAAGGCGGCGCCGTGGTGTTGAGACCGCCCCGAGCTATTCGGGGGATTGTTGAGGCGAGCCAGAAGTACCTTGGGGGGCTGTCTTGTCTGTGCGCAGCCCGACGCCCTACGAAGGATCGGAGGTCACCCTCTATACACTTACGCCGGTCTCGCAAAGATCGGTGTATGTGTGTAGTCGGCGTTCTCCAGAAGGAGCTCGAAGACTTTGTGGACAGCGTCTTCCAGCAGCGAGCCATCTCCCTGACCGCTAGCATCGCCAGCGCCGCGCAGAGTCTGAATGCCTGGGTGCTCACCTCGCCAGGCACGACGACCTTCGAAACCCTGCTGCAGCTCGGGCCCAAGATGAGCACGGATGCGGAAATCGTCAAGGCCATACTGATCAGCTCTGTGTCACCGACATCGAGAAAGAAAAAACGTAAAACCATAAATTGTCGGAGGTCCACGCGGATTTATTGAATCGCGCCATGCCCCCCTAGCCATGCCCCCATTCCACGCGGATTTATTGAATCTGCGTGGAACTCCAAAAGTTTATGTTTAAGCCGCTTCCTCTGCTTCTAATATTCGTGTCACCGGCAGTGCCCCACCGTCGTTCGAGACCGGAGCGAAGCCCAAACCACTCCCTTGAGATCTAGCGACGCAATGTTTGTACACCCGGCGTATTCGCCTGGTTTCGGCCCCCGGGATCATCACAGATCGCTGCGGCTTGAAACATGCAGCAGAAAGATGGGGCCTACGGCTCTGGTTGGAATGTTTTCGCAACGTCGGATCTCAGGGTCTGCTGGAGGCGAACCACTGCAGTCAGGCGCGTCGCGGGCGAGCGGGCGACGACGCTGTGTGGACATCTCACTGTTGGTCCGAGCTCGATTGGCCGTGTTTTTTGTTGGGGGTCTGCGTTCTGCTCGTACCATCTGCTTTTTAAGCCCCCCAACTGTTCACAATCCTGAGCTTCTCCCGCCGGTGGCTTCGCTCTCGCATGCCCCCCCCATGTCGCCGCTCATCCCCGCTGCTGCTGCTTTCCGGCGCTCCCCGGCCTCGTCTCCGCAGGCCGTTGCGGTGCACATGCAGGACAGGGCCTACATGGAGTGCCCTCGCTCGAAGGATCTCCTGTCGCAGCTGTTCCAGAGATCAGAGGACTGGGCTTTCTTTTCCTGGCGACCTGTCTGTGTGTTGACGCAGCACTGGCACGCTCGATGTGGCCTTGCTCTGCCAGGGAGAGAGGATCGGTGGACACGGCGTTCTGTGGCGGCACCTGCCTCACCTGCCCAAGCTTAAGTCTGGCCTGTCCCCCTAAAGGGGGATTTTCGACGATCAAAAAAAAAAACCCGAAATACACCAAAAAGGTTAAACAAAATACTCAAAAAATAGTCCCTGGACTATTTTTGGATTATGTTTTGATTATTTTTGGGGTATCTTTTATTTTTCGTCGAAAATCCCATGTAGGGGGACACGCCCGACTTAAGCCCAAACCTCCCTCACTCCCTCGCCCCCGTGACGGATGGTCCGATGTCCGTGAAATTCCGAGGACTTCTCGAAAGGCCTGTCACGGGATGGTTTTGGGCAGAGCAGGAGCACATACCGATACCAATGCTCTTGCTTAGCTTTCGCCTCTTTGGGCTCTTCTGGAGGGCCCACGTCGGAATTGTATCGGAACGAACCCCAGCAGAGGCCCGGGGAGCAGCGGCGTCAGCATTTGCTCCCCGCATCTTAATTTCAGTTCTTGTTCCCCACATCCAAAGTGGGGTTCTTGTTCCCCACATCCAAAGTGGGGTTCTTGCTTTCTCTGGACACCCCGCGCAGGAACAGGAACACACACACACCCACTCACACTCACTCACACTCTCTCATCATCAACCTCATCAGCATCATCGATGATGCTCTCTCACATGCTTAGTCACTCACATACTCATCATCATCATCACTCGCACTCTCTCACACGCTCATGAACATCATCATCATCATCGGCATCGGCATCATCCTCATTCAAACATCATCATCGCCACCACCACTCACAATCAATCATCATCCTCTTCACCACTCATCTTCACCACCACTCATCATCCTCATCCTCATCATCGTTTAGTAAATTGTGAGGAAGTCTCAGGCGGGAGCCCCCTCCCTATGGGGCCCGCAGATCATGTTGGTAATCCGAGCGGGTCATCGGAATCCTGTAACTGTCGTCACTTTTGAGCTCCCCAGGCCTGAAAATGGAGGAAGTCTCAGGCGGGAGCCTCGTCTGTGAGTGAATTGGGAGGAAGTCTCAGGCGGGAGCTCCCTCCCTATGGGGCCCGCAAATCATGTTGGTAATCCGAGCGGGTCATCGGAATCCTGTAACTGTCGTCACTTTTGGGCTCCGCAAGCCTGAATTTGGAGGACGTCTCAGGCGGGAGCCTCGTCTGTGAGTAAATTGTGAGGAAGTCTCAGGCGGGAGCCCCCTCCCTATGGGGCCCGCAGATCATGTTGGTAATCCGAGCGGGTCATCGGAAACCTGTAACTGTCGTCACTTTTGAGCTCCCCAGGCCTGGAAATGGAGGAAGTCTCAGGCGGGAGCCTCGTCTGTGAGTGAATTGGGAGGAAGTCTCAGGCGGGAGCTCCCTCCCTATGGGGCCCGCAGTCATGTTGGTAATCCGAGCGGGTCATCGGAATCTTGTAACTGTCGTCACTTTTGGGCTCCTCAAGCCTGAATTTGGAGGAAGTCTCAGGCGGTTTTGTCCAGGGCGGAGGCGAAGCAGCTCGCGGCAGAGCTGGGCTTCGTGCTGCCTTCCGCCTGAGCGCGGCTGCGCCTCGCTCGAAGCCCGCGGGGTTGTCCCAACGGCTTGGTCTTGCGCGCCAGCGGCTCGCGGGGTTGTCCCGACAGCCTGGCCCGCGGGGTTGTCCCAACGGCTGCGCGACGTGACCAGTAGAGAACGCGCCTGTGCTGGCCGTGGCGGCGACGGCGCCGAGGAACATCGACATGCGCGCTCATGCAACAGGAAGGGGAGGAGGTGGCGGGGCGCGGAACAAACAGGGGGGCGAGGATGGGGACAACGTAAGGAGTGGAAGGGAGGCCCGCGCCAAGGCGACAGGAAATATACGCAGAAGAGACAGCCAGGACGCCTCACCAACCACGAGGACGACGGTGATGTTTTTTTCCAGATTCGCCCAGAGGATTCTTATGTGGGGTTCTTCCGTCGGAGTAATTTTCTTTGGACACCCCGCGCAGGAACAGGAACACACACACACACACTCACACTCACTCACACTCTCATCATCAACCTCATCAGCATCATCGATGATGCTCTCTCACATGCTTAGTCACTCACATACTCATCATCATCATCACTCGCACTCTCTCACACGCTCACGAACATCATCATCATCATCATCATCATCATCATCATCGGCATCGGCATCATCCTCATTCAAACATCATCATCGCCACCACCACTCACAATCAATCATCATCCTCTTCACCACTCATCTTCACCACCACTCATCATCCTCATCCTCATCATCGTTGAGTAAATTGTGAGGAAGTCTCAGGCGGGAGCCCCCTCCCTATGGGGCCCGCAGATCATGTTGGTAATCCGAGCGGGTCATCGGAATCCTGTAACTGTCGTCACTTTTGAGCTCCCCAGGCTTGAAAATGGAGGAAGTCTCAGGCGGGAGCCTCGTCTGTGAGTGAATTGGGAGGAAGTCTCAGGCGGGAGCTCCCTCCCTATGGGGCCCGCAGATCATGTTGGTAATCCGAGCGGGTCATCGGAATCCTGTAACTGTCGTCACTTTTGGGCTCCTCAAGCCTGAATTTGGAGGAAGTCTCAGGCGGGAGCCTCGTCTGTGAGTGAATTCTGAGGAAGGCTCAGGCGGGAGCCCCCTCCCTATGGGGCCCGCAGATCATGTTGGTAATCCGAGCGGGTCATCGGAATCCTGTAACTGTCGTCACTTTTGAGCTCCCCAGGCCTGAAAATGGAGGAAGTCTCAGGCGGGAGCCTCGTCTGTGAGTGAATTGGGAGGAAGTCTCAGGCGGGAGCTCCCTCCCCATGGGGCCCGCAGATCATGTTGGTAATCCGAGCGGGTCATCGGAATCCTGTAACTGTCGTCACTTTTGGGCTCCTCAAGCCTGAATTTGGAGGAAGTCTCAGGCGGGAGCCTCGTCTGTGAGTGAATTCTGAGGAAGGCTCAGGCGGGAGCCCCCCCCCTATGGGGCCCGCAGATCATGTTGGTAATCACCGTTTTTTTTTCGTAGGCAGCAGAACGGACGGCGACGCCGAGGCAGCAAAGTGTTCAGTGCGCGCCCAACCCGTCGGAACAACTCCTCGGGGCGAGCGCGCGGCGATCGGCGTCGCCCAGCGCGTCGCCCGTCAGAACAACTCTTCAGGGCGATCGCGCCGGCGCGGCGCCTCACCGCGCCGGCCGGGCCGCCGCGCCCAGCGCCTCAATGTCCGCAGTGTAGACGGCTGCGACTGCGTCGAGGGGTTCGCCCGCCTCCTCCTCCGTGATGTGGAAACGCACCGCCTGCTCCCCGGAGAACCAGTCACAGCGACGAGCGAGCTCCCCGGCAACCGGCATCATGCGCTGCCCAGCCAGCTTCTCAGGAGCCGTGGACATGCCCCGGCGGGCGTACGTGTTGAAAAACGCGAGCCGCTCCTGCGTCCCCATCTCGAACCATCTCCCGCCGGCGAGAAGGTTCAAGCGCTTCCCGTGGAGGCCAATGAACTTCCTCTCGCCCGCCGCGGTCAGCAACTTGGGCTTGGGGTCTCCAATGCGCTCACGGCAAGCCGCCGTCTGCTTGAACTCGGCCAGGAAAACGCGCAGCAGGTGCGCAGCTGCAGAGAAGTCTTGCCTCTGGATGGCGTGGGGGGCCACGCCGGGCTCCCATGCATCGGTGCTCTGTCGGTCCGGCAAGGGCATCGACCTGTCGGTGACCTCGAGGCCGTGCAAGTAGACCTTTGACACGTGGGCAATGTGCCGGCGCGACGCCTCAGACAGCATCGGGGCAGGCGTTGGAGATACCGGAGGCGTGTCGAAATCGAGGTTCGGCGGCGGCTCAGCGAGCCTCGCCCTCTTCGGTACATCCTCTCCGGCCACGGCGGACGCAGCGGCGAGCCCTGGCGACACGAGCGGCGGGGCGGGCTTGGGAGCAGCCACTGGCGACCGAGGTGCAGCCGACGCGGCGAAGGGCGGCGCCTCGCGGGCGGCCCTCTGCGGCGTCTCCGCGGCAGGCGCAGCGGCGAGCCCCGGCGACGCGGGCGGCGGGGCGGCCTTGGGAGCAGCCACTGGCGGCCCAGGCGCAGCCGACTCGGCGAAGGGCGACGCCGCGCAGGCGACCCGCTGCGGCAGCTCCGCGGCAGGGGCGCGCTTGGCGGCGATGTGCGTCGGGCCCGCCTCGGCCACTGCGGCCGCGGCGGCGAGTCTCTGCGGCGGGGGCGGCGAGGCGAATTGGGAGGCAGCCGCTGGCGCACCGAGCGCAGTCGGCAGTGACCCGGGGCCCCGGTGCGACGCCGCGGTAGGCGGCAAGACCCGCTCACGCTGCTGCTGCGGATGGGGCTGCCCATGCTGCGCCGCCGCCGCCGCCGCCGGGCGCGCGGCGGCGCCCCGTTCCTCGCCTGGCAGCTCGCGGCAGCCAGAGCGGCAGAGCTGGGCTTCGTGCTGCCTTCCGCCTGAGCGCGGCTGCGCCTCGCTCGAAGCCCGCGGGGTTGTCCCAACGGCTTGGTCTTGCGCGCCAACGGCTCGCGGGGTTGTCCCGACAGCCTGGCCCGCGGGGTTGTCCCAACGGCTGCGCGACGTGACCAGTAGAGAACGCGCCTGTGCTGGCCGTGGCGGCGACGGCGCCGAGGAACATCGACATGCGCGCTCATGCAACAGGAAGGGGAGGAGGTGGCGGGGCGCGGAACAAACAGGGGGGCGAGGATGGGGACAACGTAAGGAGTGGAAGGGGGGCCCGCGCCAAGGCGAGAGGAAATATACGCAGAAGAGACAGCCAGGACGCCTCACCAACCACGAGGACGACGGTGATGATTTTTTTTTCCAGATTCGCCCAGAGGATTCTTATGTGGGGTTCTTCCGTCGGAGTATTTTTTCAAGCACCTCGCGCAGGGCCCCCTCCTCCTCGTCATCCTCTCTTCTTGCCTCTTCGCACGCATCATCATTATTATCATCCCCTGTACCATCCCCATCATCATCTCTCACACACTCACGTATCATCCGCATTAGCGCGATCACCACCATCATTACATTCACATGCACACATGGTCATCATCACCCGTATCACCTTCATCATCATCATCGTCATCATCATCAACCAAATTATCATCAGCACTATCGTCATCACCTGCATCGTTACCATCATCATCCTCATCATCATCAGTATCGCCATCACCAGCAGCACCGTCATCTTTTTCATCATCATCGTCATCAGATCATGAGTACCCCCACGCACACATGCACTCACACACTCGTGCACTCGTACACCGGGAATATCGAGTGGGGGCATAGTCTGTGACCGATTTGCAAGGAAGTTTAAGGAGGATGGGGCCCGCATTTCGTGTTACTAGTGCAAAAGGGTTGCCAAAGTACACGTAACAACAACGCATTGTTCTGTGGTCTGACAGTCGCCAGAGCTCCATTCCCAGTGCTGACATTAAGTGTGCGGGGCCAACTGTGGACCACTTCGGGCTTGCAGAGTTCCCAGTGGGCCATTTCGGGCTCTCTGTGATCCCAGATATCGATTCGCGGCACTGATTCTGCACGTCCGGAGCCATCTGTAAGCCACTTCGGGCTATTCCTGTTCCCAGGATTAAGCTCCTGGGGCTGATTTTAAATTGTCGGAGCCACGTGCAAGGCATGTCTGGCCATTCGTGCTCCCAGAACTCCACTACTGGGACTGATTTCGCGCTCTTGTCTTGGCATACTGGCATCCTGGCAACTTGGCGTGCTGGCATCGCTGGCATCGCTGGTATCCCTGCAATCCTGGCATCCCTGGCATCCCTGGCATCCTGGCATCCAGGCGCAGGCCCCGCATGTCTAACAGAGTCTCACAGATCCCACAGGCCCCGCCAGTCGCACACGCCCCACAGGTCGCACTTGTTCCACAGGCCTCGCAAGTCTCGAAGTTCCCACATGTCGCGCAGGCCGTACAGGTCCCACACGCTCTACAGGCCCCACAGGTGGCGCTGGTCTCACAGCTCCCACAGGTCGAACACGCCCCACATGTTCCACAGGCTCCCTGGGTCCCACAGGTCGTACGGGTACCGAATGTGCCACAGGTCGCAAAGGTCCCGCAGATCCCACGGGGCCCACAGGCCGCACAGGTCGCACAGGCGCCCTGGAATGCTGGTTATATCCCCATGCTGGCGCCCCAGCCTGCTGGCCGCCTGGCACCCTGGCATCCTGGCACCCCAAGCATTTTGGCATTCTGGTGTTCTGTCGTCCTGGCTTTCTGGCACCCTGGCGTGCTGGCATCCTGGCATCCTTGTCTCGTTGCCATGTCAATCGCTGATGGCAACGTACATGCGAACCAAGGAGATTCTCATGCGGGCCCCTTCCGTCGGCGCAATTGTTCCCCCACGGGATGCTCCGGGCGACCAAGGCATCCTCGGAAAACGACCTGGATTCCACAACCTCTCGTTCACCCCGACCTATCAACTTAGTCGGACAGTGCTGTCGCTGGACCGTTCTGGGGCCTCTGAAGTCCACTTACTGCGCTGGGCTGGGCTTCGATAGAAAACGCAAATCACAAGCACATGAAGCACGACACATTTCATTCCGGAGAGACCAGAACAGCTACACAAACATATTTGTTGTATAGTTCCGGTCGATTTCCTAAGGTCGGTGCCGGACCCCTTCCGCACACCTCCGCGAACCAGGGGAGGGGTGTGCTGGTCCAGCGCCGACCGACAAGACCCGCACGGACGTCTGACAGTTTTTGATTGATCCGTTGGAGGTCTCAAACCGTGGCATATCAAAGAAGATATCCGCTTGACAGCAGGTGCCCACGAAGCTTTCTTGCTTCCCGATGGCCCAGGGGCCCGCAGAAGCCCTGGGGCATCATGGGCAAATGGAAGCTCGGCCACGCATGTGCCGCCAGAGTTCCTGCCAGCAAGATGTCAGACGGCATGTGTCTACTGCACTTCTGCTGCCGAATCCTGTTCCGTCGGCGAGCGAGGGGGGGAAATGAGAAGGGGAAGGCCTTCTCAGAAGAAGGCGGGACCTCTCAGGAGCCCTCCCGCCTTCTGAGAAGTTTTCTGTGTCGTCGGGGAAGACTTCGAAAACTCCTCAGAAGACCAGGGAACTTCCGAGCCTTCTGAAAGGGCCCTCTCCTTCTCACTTCCCCCCCGGGCTCGCCGCCTGCTGTTGGCGAATGAAGACGTCTCCAGCCGATGAGCTCCACCGCGGTGGACGACTTCGCGCCCCTGGAGCTGCCCGGAGACCTCTGGGCCCGGGGCTCAGAGGTCACGCCCCCCTGCCGAGGCCTGCCTGCCCAGCCTGGACGCGGTCCCGGCACACGCCGCAGAGCGTCCATCGTAGGAAGCACTTCGCCGGGGTGCGCTGCTTTGGTGCCAGGTTCATGCAAACGAGAAGTCTTTATTTTTCTGGACGTCCGAAATGGGTACGTACGGAAAGAATGGGTACGATGCCCAACAGCAGTTCCTGTTCATTCTGGGCAGGGCTCGCTGTCCGCGCCGCCGCGGCCCGTGTCCGTTTGAGACAGGAGGGGGCCCGCCCCACAGCGGCCGCTGATGGTTTGGGACAACATTTGTTGTTGGGCATTGTGCCCCTTTTTTCCGTGCCCACTTCGGGCGTCCAAAAGTTTTTGATGTACTAGCCAGGTGCTGGTCGTTGATGCTCACACCGCCTTGTCAGTGCACCCCCTGGCCAGTTACTGCTTAGCCCTCGGGGGTTCCGCTCCGACGGGAGTCGGGCACTCCCCTCCGATCCCGTGTCCCTGACATCCTCGCGTCGACGACGGACAAATTCGGTTTGGGGGTAATTTTTCTGCCCGCAGGGGCCGTCCAGCCACGACTCAGGTTGAGAAGCCAGTCACTTCGAAGGAAACCAGACCTGTGGGGAATCACGTGTGACAAAATCACGTTTGGGAGGCAATTCTGAGACCTCGCGGCCCCCTCGGGGGCTGTGAACCGCGCAGTTGTCGTCACTTTCGTGGGCTCCCAGGGGGCGCGGCGCAGTCGAGGGCAACGCAAACCATTACCTAACAGCGAAGACTGATAGGTTTCTAGTGGGCTCAAAAGAAGAAGCCGGGGAACCCAGTGACTCCCTATTTTGACTGCCAGGAGCCACATGTTGACTGCCCGGAGCCAACAGAACACCATTCAGGCCACATTATGAATGCCCGGAGCCAACTGCAGGCCACTTCGTGTTCTTCGTGTTCCCAGAACACCATTCCCAGGCCACATTTTGAATGCCCGGAGCCAACTGTAGGCCACTTCGTGTTCTTCGTGTTCCCAGAACACCATTCCCAGGCCACATTTTGAATGCCCGGAGCCAACTGTAGGCCACTTCGTGTTCTTCGTGTTCCCAGAAAATCATTCCCAGACCACATTTTGAATGCCCGGAGCCACCTGTAGGCCACTTCGTGTTCTTCGTGTTCCCAGCACACTATTCCTGTACCAAGTTTTGATTGCCCGGAGCCAACTGTGGGCCACCTCGTGATCTTCGTGTTCCCAGAACATAGTCCTGTGCCATATTTTGAATGCCCGAGCTGAGGCAGGCTGAGGCCGAGGCAGGCTGAGGCCGAGGTAGGCTGAGGCTGAGGCTGAGGCACGCCGAGGCAGGCTGAGGCTGAGGCTGAGGCAGGATGAGGCTGAGGCAGGCTGAGGTTGAGGCTGACGCAGGCTGAGGCCGAGGCAGGCTGAGGCTGAGGCTGAGGCAGGCTGAGGCTGAGGGTGTGGCTGAGGCTGAGGCTGAGGCAGGCTGAGAGGCTGAGGCTGAGGCTGAGGCAGGCTGAGGCTGAGGCTGAGGCTGAGGCTGAGCCGAGGCAGGCTGAGGCTGAGGCAGGCTGAGGCTGAGGCTGAGGCTGAGGCAAGCTGCGGCTGAGGCAGGCTGAGGCTGAGGCTGATGCAGGCTGAGGCTGAGGCTGAGGCAGGCTGAGGCTGAGGCTGAGGCAGGCTGAGGCTGAGGCCGAGGCAAGCCGAGGCAGGCTGAGGCTGAGGCTGAGGCTGATGCTGAGGCAGGCTGAGGCTGAGACAGGCTGAGGCTGAGGCTGAGGCTGAGGCTGAGGCAGGCTGAGGCTGAGGCCGAGGCAGGCTCAGGCCGAGACAGGCTGAGGCTGAGACTGAGGCTGAGGCTGAGGATGAGGCCGAGGCAGGCCGAAGCTGAGACAAGGTGAGGCTGAATGGGGGGGGGGAAGGGGGGGGGGGAGGAGGGGAGGCTGAGGCAGGCTGAGGCCGAGGCAGGCTGAGGCCGAGGCAGGCTGAGGCTGAGGCTGAGGCAAGCCGAGGCAGGCTGAGGCTGAGGCTGAGGCTGAGGTTGAGGCAGGATGAGGCTGAGGCTGAGGCTGAGGCTGACGAAGGCTGAGGCCGAGGCAGGCTGAGGCTGAGGCTGAGGCAGGCTGAGGCTGAGGCCGAGGCAGGCTGAGGCTGAGGCTGAGGCAAGCCAAGGCAGGCTGAGGCTGAGGCTGAGGCTGAGGCAGGCTGAGGAATCCGTAGGAATCCATAGGAATCCTAAGGGATCCTTAGGATTCCGTAGGCATCCTTAGGAATCCGTAGGCAAAGTTAGGATTCCTCAGGAATCCTTAGGAATCCCTAGGCATCAGGATTCCTAAGGTTTCCTAAGGATTACTGTGGATTCCTAAGGATGCCTTAGGAATCCCTAGGAATCCTTAGGATTCCATTGGATCCTAAGGCCGTTGCCACTGCGACTGTCATTGCGAATGCGACTGCGACTGCGAGAACAGCAGAATTCTACAACTGGATTCTCACCTGAATCTTAAGGGGAATGCTTCCAGATATGCTTATACACATCGCTGTTCGGTTGCTTTGCCGGGATAATTTTGAAACCTCGCGGCTCCTTCGGCGACTGCGACGTGCGCAACTGGCACCCCCTTCGTGGGGTCCCAGGAGGCACGGCGCGGATGATTTTGAGGCCTCGCGGCTCCCTCGGGGGCTGCGACGTGCGCGACTACCGTCTTTTTTCGTCGGCTCCCAGGAGGCGCGGCGCAGTCGAGGGCAACGCGGATGATTTTGAGGCCCCGCGGCTCCGCCGGGGGCCGCGACCTGCACGCTGGGCCGCCACTTTCGTGGCATCCCGGGAGGTGCACGGCGCAGCCGAGGGGGCCACGCAGCTCACTCTCGGACCTCGCGGCCCCCTCGGGGGCTGCGAGGTGCACGGCGCAGTCGCGGGCCGCGCAGCTCCTTCCGGGGCCCCGCGGCTCCCTCGGGAGCCATCTTGGCATCGCTCGGACGTGTGCATTTTTCCTTCGGCGAGGGCCCTCGAGGAGCATCCTTGATCCTTTGGCAAAACAAAACACGCACGACACCGACAAATGCACAGGAAATGGACGTCCGAGAGATGGCGAGCTAGAGCTGCCGCGTGCGCACCTCTCGCCTCTCTTCGCGGGCTGCTGGGGGAGGCCCGGCGCAGCCCGGGGCCACGCCGCCCTCGGGGGCTGCGAGCGGCGCAGTCCTCCGCGCCCACGCGGGGGCGCCCAGCGGGCGCCCACGGCGCCGCCCCGTCGTTCCGCCGCGCGGCGCCGTGCCAACGCGGAGCGCAGAGCGCCGCAGCCTCCCGCAGCGCACGGCGCCCTCCTCGGTGGGCCGCACGGCGCCCTCCCGCAGCGCACGGCGCCCTCCCGCAGCGCACGGCGCCGCTTCACCTCCCCCTCCTTCTCGGCATCGTTCGGACGCGTGCATTTTTCCTTCGGCGAGGACCGTCGAGGAGCGTCCTTGATCATTTGGCGACAAAAAGCCACGCACGACACCGAACAAAAGCACGGGGAACGGACGTCCGAGCGATGGCCAGCTTCGCCGAGGAAGAAAAAGGCGCCATGAACATAGACTCTTGGCGCGCCGCGCGGATTTCTTGGATCCGGGAGCTGGGGCCCCCCGGCGGCGCCTCCGGCGCCGCCCCTGGCGCGCTCCGCGCGCCAGTGAGAGGGGGGTCCAGCGCAGATCCAAGAAATCCGTGCGGACATCCGAAAGTTTATGGTTATGCCGTCGCCCGCAGCAGCAACAGCAGGGGTGAACCGAGCAGATGTAACTCATGGCGCTGTGACTGTCACCAATTTATCTACCCCTTCCGTTTTCATCCTCCTTGCCGCCCCCCATTTGCTTTCTCCTCCTCATCTTCCGCTTCTGTCTTCCGTTCGATGTTCCTTGTCGTGCTTGTCGTCGCCGTCCCTTTTTTCGATCTGAGTTGCGCAGGTGTGCGACCCGCGTGACCCGACATTGTTTGGCGAAGCAGGTCAGAGTGCTGCATATGTCGCAATGCGCTCATGTGGATGGAGCGTTCATATGAACAGTCGCCTCGCGTGGAGACTGGGTGGGGGGACGTCTCGGGGAATCGCAGTCGGAACTGGGGCTCAAACCATCTTGGCTACAGTGTCTGGCCTTTGGGGCCCGAAAGGGGCACCTCTTCTACCCTCCTCACTTATGGCCCCGAATCAGCTTGCGCCCAAGACTCGTTTCCGATTGTTTTTGACGGGTCAGAAGTCCGGAAGATGGCCCCGAGTGTTCGAGAATGGCAAGGCGTGTGCGGCGGAAAGGGTCCCAGACTTCCGACGTCTGGATTCGGTTCGTGCAGGTTCCCCAGACCGAAACCCGGATAGCGGAGCAGTCCAAAGCGCGTGAAACGCCTGTGGGAGACGCTTGCAAGGACGCTTGAAAGGATGTCTGGGGAGCTTGCAGAAGCTTCGCGGGAGCCCCCCAAGAGCTTCGAAGGAGTTGCGGAAAGGCTTCCCAGAAGCGTAATCGGGAACGAGTAGAACAACGCTCTCGGGACAGGCTGGGAGCTAACCTCTCGACCCCTGCCCATGAACCAGTTATTTATTCCAGACCGTCTTTGCCCCCAGCCATCCTCTGGTGTTGAGTCGTCGTTTTGAATCTGCAGCACCGCGCGTCTCGTCCTCCCTCCTCCTCCTCCTTCTCCTCCTCCTCCTCCTCCTCCTCCTCCTCCTCCTCCTCCACTCCCTCCCCCCTCCTCCGCACGTCCATTTCGGCACACCCCTCGTGCGCTGCGTGGCCCCTGTGGGAGTTCCACTGGAGGCCCCAGTGGCAAGGTTCACACGCCGCCCCGCCCATTCCCGCAGATCCCTCACACGCTTAGTGGCCCCATTCTCCTTCACATTCTTCCTCTCGCCTGCCTTGCCAGGCTCACACCTGTAGACCTTCGCCTGGATAATTCCACCGCTTCTGAGGGCGCCGAGAATGGGCTACGCACGCAGCGGATAATGTTACCGCCCCGAGAGGTTGCCGGGAATGCCGAAACGACGCAGCCTCGAGACGTCGGAGGCCTGGGGCCCTGCTCCAGCCCAGCGCAGCGACCGACCGGCGCCCAACTCAGACAACCGACGCCGAGACCTCGAGTCGCTTTTGGCCGGCCTTGCGGCCCTGCAGGCGGTCTCTGTCGGGCCGGACGAAAGGGGGGGATATGGAAAGGGGGGGTTACGAAATCTGCTGCATGCAGCTGGTTTCGGCCCCACCGAGGGGCCCATTCCTCGATACGTGGGCGCCTCCCGGCGCCGGGAGGCGCCAGGAAAATCAGCTACGTGAGCTGATTCTCAAACCCCCCCTTTGCTATCCCCCCCTTTCGCCCGACCCGACTCTGAGGCTGCAGATTGCCGAACCCCCCCATCGTCGTGACTCTTGCGCGACGCCAGGGGGGTCAGAGTCGCTCCAGCCCGGCGCAGCGACCGATCGGCGCTCAGGGGTGGCACCGCCTGACCCCCCAGGGCCCGTCTCATTCCAATCGATCCTGCTCGATGCCGAGCTCTCCAGGCCCTGCCCGAGCCGGCCTCGATTCTGAGCCGATGAATCACTGAGTGCATTCTCGCTCCAACCCGATCCGATGTCGCGATCCGATTCCTGGCCGCTCCCGCCCCTCCCCAGACCCCCGACGTCGTGACTCCCGCCCCTCCCCAGACCCCCGACGTCGTGATTATTTCTTCACAGCGTCGACCCCCAGAGGTATGGACCCCTTCCCCCAGGGACCGGCTTTTCCTCCCGAGTCGTTCTTCAACGGCCCCGAGGCCCGGGCAGGACCCCCGGAGGTTTCAAATAGTGAAATACCTTCCGTCGTGATTTTTTCGCCACGCGAGGGGTCGGAGGTGGACAGACCTCCTACCCTGACACGTCGATTAAGGAATTGGCAGTTTTCGGTTCGCGAGAGGGCGTCGCGGCCGTCATTTTTGCGGGTCCAGGTCCGTCGGTTTCGGTCCCAGGCCGTTTTCATTAAGGGGAGGTTTACTAAAGGGAGGTTTGTCCACCGCCGAAGGGGGTCTGGGCCCCCCCCCCGCGGCGCAGCGAGCACAGCCGAGGACCCCGCCCAGAACGGCGCGAACGCAGAGTTCCGGCGCCACGGCTTCAGGCGCCGAGGGCCGGTCCCTGTCACGGCGTGGCTCGCGTCGGAGAAACGCGCAGAATGGGTGCCCATCCTCCTCCTCCGCCTTCTCCTCCTCCTCCTCCTCCTCCTCCTCCTCCTCCTCCTCCTCCTCCTCCCTCCTCCCTCCTCCTCCCTCCTCCTCCCTCCTCCTCCTCCGCCTCCTCCTCCTCCTCCTCCTCGTGCTTCCCCCTTATCCTCCTCCTCCTCTCCTCCTCCTCCTCCTCCTCCTCCTCCTCCTTCCCCCTTCTCCTCCTTCTCCTCCTCCTCTTTCTTCTCTTCCCTCTGCCGAGACGGAGAGACTGGGCACAACGACTGGCAGCAGTTCCTGTTCATTCTCCCTGAAGACAGAGATCGAAGCAGAAACTTTTGGCGCACCGCGCCGATTTCTTGGATCCGCGCTGGGCCCCCCCGGCGGCGCCTCCGCCGCTGCCCCTGGCGCGCTCCGCGCGCCAGGGAGGGGTGTTTCAGCGCAGATCCCAGAATCCGCGCGCACCGTCGAAAGTTTCTGCTCATCCTGTTAGTACCATTATTACTATTATGTTGATTCCTCTTCTTCTTGTTTTAAGAAACCTGCTTGCCCAACAGCGGCCGGTGTCGGTTTTGAACAACAGGTGTTGTTGGGCATTGTGCCGATTTGTTCCAAACCCAGTTCGGGCGTCCGAATTCTGATCACCACCCCCTGGTGTCAGGAGTGGAAAAGGTACCGATACTGCTGCGCGTCTCTTGTTGCAACGTTTGGATTCGCTTCGAATTCTTAGTCTGAACGCATTCCGGGAGAGGTCTAAGGAGTATCGGTATTAATACCCATTGGTGAGGCCTTTCCGCTTTGCTCCCCTCTCGTCCCTCCCTCCTCCCTGCCTCCCTGCTCGTTCACTCGTCTCGTCCTCATGGGCTCTCCCGCCTTTTTCTCCTTCTTCCTCGGTCCCCCCTTCCACTCCCTCCTCTCCCTCCTATTCCGCTTCCTCATCCACTCCCCAGCGGGCGAGCGGGAGGAGCATGAGAGAGGCAACGCAGGATGGAGTCGGAGTCGGAGAGGACGAGCGACGACGAAGACGATGAGCGACGACGCCGCACGACGGCATAGACAGCCTTACCACTTATGGTCCTGAGCTCAGAATGTGCGACCGTTTCACGGATGGAGGGCGGGCCGCTTTCAAAATGTGGTTCTCGCTTGAGCGCCGCGCACAATATTTCAGCATGTTTGCAGGCGCTTCACGGACAGAGGGCGGGTGGTTTTCAACATGGGGTTGACATTTTGGGCCTGCGCGCGTTCGTCCTAACGATGTGCAAGAGCTTCGCAGACGGAAGCGTCGATACCTTTTCGAAGTGCGGTTCTCGCCCCAGCGCCGCGCACATTCGTTTTAAGAGTTTACAGCAGTCGCGGGGTTTCTGATGGCGGACGTCCCAGAAATGGCGCTCTGTCACGTTGTAATATCGTCAGGGCGCAACAGATACGTTGATTCGCGGTGTTGAAGTCCCAGGAATGGCGTTCTGGTACGGTTCAGGGTCGTCATGACGCAGCAGTCAGGTGAATTTGTGACTTTGAAGTCCCAGGAGTGATGTTTTGACACGGTTCCGGATTATCAGATTGTTCACTTCCAATGGGGCACCTCCAGGTGAAGATGAATCTTGGTAGGGATTTGTGAAGAGGCAATCGGGAGGAAGGGTAGTCATGTGTTGCAACATTGTTGAGGAGCCTTGGATTTGCTCTGGTCCTCCCGCTCTTCCTGCTGCTCCTCCTCCTCCTCCTCCCTCCTCCTCCTCCTCCTCCTCCTCCTCCTCCTCCTCCTCCTCGGGGTACGCTCGCTCCTCCTCCTCCTCCTCCTCCTCCTCCTCCTCCTCCTTCCCTCTTCCCTTCCCCCTCCCCACTCCTCCGCACCTCGCCGATCCTCCCCTCAGCCTTCGGCGGGCGGCCCCCCCCCCAGGCGCTGGTCCTTCTCCCACGCCGGCGAGGCCGCGGCCCGGGGGCACCCGGCGGTGTCGTGGCCGCCGCCCCGGGGGGAGGGCCCCTCTGCGGCGCGCCCGGCGGGGCCCACGCCCGACATATCCTCGGGCCCCTTGGGGGCCAGGGCGCAGACTGTAGCCAGAGATCCAACGCAGTGACCAAGAAGCCAGCGGGAGGTTTCTCTCTTAGCTTTCGGCCTCTCGGGGCCCTCTCCCAGGCCCCAGGACCGTCGGATAGCGACTGGGGATGAAGAGCTCGTCCTCGGGAATGGGTGGAGACTTCCGGGGACCCCGCATTGAAGAAGTCACGACGTCGGATCTCTGCGGACTGACCAGGTCATTGGCATGTGGGGGAAACGACACCTTTGCTTGCAAAGTCCGAATGGGTCGTCCAGTGCAGGGTTTTTGTTGGTTCTGCTCTGCGGGGTTCGGGTTGTTGCTTCGTGCCGCCGTCTGGAAAAAATGATTTCGAGGGATGTTGGATGTCCTGGTCTAGCGTGTCCAGGTCTACGTGATCCTGACACTATTGCGTCGCGAAAAATATCAACAGGCGCTCTTTTGTTGTAGATTTGTTTCGCCGCCCAAGGGGGGGCCCTTGCGATCCACCCGGCGGGGCCCTTGCCTGACATCCTCGCGTCGCGAAGCTATCGATTAGACGTACTGTACGAGTGACCCTTCGCCGTAGTGACCTTCGGTGCGGGCCCCAATTGGGGCCCCCCGATCGCCAAACGCGTTGTGGTAGCAGCGCCCTGCGCGCTCGTGTTTGGCCCCCCCGCGGCCCCCAAAGGGCCGCGCACCAAGGGTCACTCTTGCCCAGGGTCGCTCTTCCCAGACCCCCGACGTCGTGATTTGTTCACAACGTCGAGGAGTCTGGACCCCTTCCCAGGGACAGTTTTTCGTCTTGAGTCGTTTTGTTGACCGTCCCGAGGCCTGGGAAGGGCCCCCGGAGGCCGAAAACAGCGAAACACCTCCCGTCGTGATGTGGATTCACCACGCAGTAGGAGGTCGACGGGCGCTGCTTTGCTGTAGTTCTGTGCTTGCCATGCTCCGCTTCTGGGGGCGGCCACGCAGGGCCTCTCCGGATTGTTCCCCGCATCCAAAGCGGGGGCTCCTGTTTTCTCTAGACACCCCGCGCAGGGACAAGAACACACACCCTCTCCTGTCCTCGGATCGCACACTCGTTCACTTAATCCCTCACGCACATCACCACGCACACCCACTCCCTCACCCACCCATTCACCCACGCACACTCACAGTCACTCACCCACTTACTCACCCACTCAGACACACTCATCATCATCACTCACTCACGCACTCACCCACTCACTCACTCACCTACCCGCCCACTCACCCACTCACTCACACTCTCATCATCATCATCATCACCATCATCATCATCATCATCATCATCACCATCATCATCAGCATCATCATCATCGTCATCATCATCATCTTCATCATCATCTTCATCATCATCATTATCATCATTGTTATCATCATCAGCATCATCATCTGCATCATCATCACCATAGTCATCATCAGCATCATCATCATCATCACCATCATCATCATCATCATCACCATCATCATCATCATCATCATCATCATCATCATCATCATCATCATCATCATCATCATCATCATCATCATCGTTAACATCATCGTTATCATCATCATCACCTTCAGTCACTCACTCACTCATTCACTCACTGACTCATCTCAGGCGGGAGCTTCGTTTGTGAGTGAATTGCGAGGAAGTCTCAGGCGGGAGCCCCCTCCCTATGGGGCCTGCAGATCATGTTATTAATCCGAACGGGTCATCGGAATCCTGTAACTGTCATGATTTTGAGGCCCCAGAGGCCTGAGTATGGCGGAAGTATCAGGCGGGAGCCTGGTCGGTGAGTGAATTGTGAGGAAGTCTCCGGCGGGAACGCCTTCCTTATGGGGCCCGCAGCTCATATGATCAATCCGAGCAGGTCTTCGGAATCTTGTAACTGTCGTCACTTTTGGACTCCTGAAGCTTGAGTATGGCGGACGTCTCAGGCGGGAGCCTCGTCTGTGAGTGAATTGCGAGGAAGTCTCAGGCGGGAGCCCCTTCCCTATGGGGCCCGCTGCTCATGTTACTAATCGGAGCGGGTCCCGGGAGTCCTGTAGCTGTCGTCATTTCTGGCTTCTTAAAGCTTGCGTATGGCGGAAGTCTCAGGCTGGAGCCTCGTCTGTGAGTGAATTGCGAGGAAGTCTCGGGCGGGAGCCCCCTCCCTATGGGGCCCGCAGCTCATGTTATTAATCCGAGCGGGACATCAGAATCTTGTAACTGTCGTCACGTTTGGGTTCTTCAAGCTTGAGTATGGCACAAGTCTCAGGCAGGAGCTTCGTCTGTGAGTGAATTGCGAGGACGTCTCAGGCGGGGCCCCCCTCCCTATGTGGCCCGCAGCTCACGTTATTAATCCGAGCGGGACATCAGAATCTTGTAATTGTCGCCACGTTTGGGTTCTTCAAGCTTGAGTATGGCGGAAGTCTCAGGCGGGAGCCTCGTCTGTGGGTGAATTGCGAGGGAACCCTCAGGCGGGAACCCCCTCTCTATGAGGCCCGCAGCTCATGTTATTAATCCGAGCGGGTCATCGAGGTCTTGTAACTGTCGTCACTTTGGGGTTCCTGAGGCTTGGATGTGGGGGAATATCAGGCGGGGTTGTCCCAACGGCTGCGCGATGCGGCCATTCGAGAATGCGCCCGTGCTGGCCGAGGCGGCGACGGCGCCGAGGAAAACCGACGCGCGCGCTCCTGCAAGGAGGAAGGGGAGGTGCACGAGGAAAACAGGCTTGGCGGAGATGGGGAGGGGGAGAGGAAGGGGAGGTGAAGGAGGAGGAAGAAAAGGACGAAGAGGAGGAAGAAAACGAGGAGGGGGAGGGAGAGGAAGAGGCGGAGGACGAGAAGGAAGAGGAGGAGAAGGAGGAGGCGGAAAAACACGAGGATAAGGCATGCAACGAGCAGGACAAGAATGAACAGGAGGAGGAGGAGGAGGAGAGGGAGAAGGAGGAGGAGAAGGAGGAGGAGGAGGAGGACGCAGAGGGCGGAAGGACGGCCTCCGCCAGTCGAAGAAGAAAAAGGTGAGGAACAAACCAAATCGATACCCATGTGGGGTCCTACCGTCGGAGTAAGATGTTGTCTTGCTGCCGTTGCGGGAGGCGTGTCCCAGCAGCGCTGCGCCCCGTCGAGACGGCCTTGCAGGGGTGCCCGGGTGGTCCTGGTCGCCCGCCGGAGGAGCGGGTCACGCCCCCCCAAACTTGACATCCTACATACAAGCCTCGTCAAAAATAGGTCGAAGCGCCGTTCAACATCGAAGTGCCCGAGAGTTTTTGAAGAAGAAAAAGAAGAAACGCTACAAACATAAACTTTGGGCGTTCCGCGCGGAGCTGCCCCCCCCCCCCCCCGGCCGGCGCCCCTGGCGCGCTCCGCGCGCCAGGGAGGGGGCCCCAGCGCAGATCCCAGAAATCCGCGCGGAGCGCCAACAATTTATATTTCTGGTGTTTTTTTTCTAAAACTGCAAGCCTCATCGGCAATAGTTGGAAGCGCCGTTTAAAACCGAAGCGCCCGGTTGGTCGGGCACTTGCCAGAAAGCGCGTTGTTCAATGCTGCGAGGGTGCTGCCGATTTTCGGACCCCTGCGTGTGGGCCAAACGCTTCGTGCCAGCATTGAAGTAGCGCCGACCGCACAAGCGCCGAACGCAAAAACTGTAAATGTATGTTTGGCGAGTGTTGTTATCTCGAGAGAGCCAGTTCGGCCCGCGTGTAATTACAACTTTAGGCTTCCAGGGGGTCCTACGCCAGACCCCCGACACCGTTCAACGGTTACTCCTGCAGGATGAGAAGCGGCTGCGCTTAGGAGCGGCCCTTCGCCAGAGTAACGTCTGGTGAGGGTCCACAGGGGCTCCCCAGCGTTGGCCTGAGCAGGTGGGCCAGGCCCTCTTATAGGCCGCGCGCGCAGGGCCACCCTTGCCTTCTGGGGTTACAGTCAGAACGAGGCATAAGATCGAGATCGGTTCGGGGAGGGTACCCTAGTGTTCTCTGTGTGTTTGATATTGATCTTCTTGTTCATCCTTGGGAGGGTACCTTTGGACGTGCTGCGTTGGCCGACGGAGGGTCTCATGCTCTCGAATGCTGTTCCTCTGGCCATGGTCCGCCTGCCCTCTTCCGCGTAGGCGGCGGACGAGAAGCTGGTCCCGGGGCAGGGGTCCAGACCTCGCCGGGGCCCAGGCCGCGAATAAAGATCGTGGCGTATGGTGTCCCGGGAGGCCAGCGGCAACAGCGGATCGCCCTGCCCCGATCTTCGAGCCTTCGGGGGCTTCGAGCTGGAGACGTTCCGGCGCTTGCGGAGCCAGGCAATGAGGCAAGATCGGGACAGGACCTAGGTGACCAGGTCCAGGACAGGACCGGACAGGGCAGGGCGAGATAGAGCAAGGCAAGGCAGGACTGGGACAGGACAGGACAATATAACGTTAGCAGTGTAGCGCACGGCGGGGCGCCAAGCTTCACAAGAGTGAGCTTGAAGCTTCAGCCTCGAGCTTGAGCTTCGGAGTGCCGCTGCTCCGCTGCTGGAGCTGGAGCTTGTGATTCTAGTTCCGCGTGCCAGCCGAATGTGGTCTGAGGTGGCCCAGGGAGGTGCGCAGGCCGCAGCGCCAACCACTGCGACCACAGTTACACAGTCTGTTGTGCACTTGCACTTGTTGCTGCAGTGCCGTTTTGGGTCTGCTTCTTGAGCTCGAGCTTATGACTATGACTCCGCGTGCGAGCCGAATGTGGTTTGAAGAGGTCCAGTAGGGGGCCACATGCGAACCCTACCCCTACCCCCCACGATTTCTGAGGGGGAGGGTGGGGTTCGCATGTGGCCCCCTATCCAGGGAGGTGCTGCGGCGGTCGCAGGGCGGCGGCCCGTCTTCTTCGCTCTCTCCCAGGGCAGGCGCGCGCGCGGACGAGATGACACCGCGCGCAGACGCCCACACACATCAGAGCACGTGCTTTTTTTCTCGCGGCGTGCAGGCCCAGGCAGAGGGCTGGCTCCCTTTCTTCCGGGGGTCGGCCTTCGTCCTCCCGAGTCGTGTTTTTGTCACTGTCCCGGGGCCCGGCGAGGGCCGCGGAAGGCCGAGGATCGCCGAACAGTTCCCCTCGTGCGCCCCAGGTCCCCGACGTCGTGATTTTTCAGAACGTCGACCCTGAGAGGCCTGGACCCCTTCACCAGGACCGGTTTTTCATCCTGACTCGTCTGACTCGTTCTTTGACGGCCCCAGGGCCCGCTGAGGGCCCCGGGAGCCCGAGAATAGTAGTGGAAAGCCTTCCGTCGTGATTTTTGTTCACCACGCGCGGGGTCTGGGCCTTCTGCCACGCCAATCGGTCTGGGGGGGCACCTCGCGAGCCCTCAGGCATCGTGGGATCGAGTGGGCGACCTGGCGGCGGCGTGCCCGCACCCCGCCGCTCGGCTTCCCCCCCCGGGCGCCAGGGCTGGCGGGAGCTGCCAGGCTGCGCTGCCGTCGGCCCGGGCCCGGTCGGGCGGGCCGCCAGGCGCCTCCGGAGGCCATGGCGGCCGGTCCTGCTGGCGCCACGGCTGGCCTTCCAGGAGGGCTTGCAGACAGAACCCCAGAAGCTTGGCGCCTCTGTTCCCGTGGGGGTTCGAGGCAGTCCAGATCTGGTCTGTGGGTCTGGAGGGCTCATCCGTGGCACTCTGGAAGGTCAGGGACGGCTGTGGTGGGCGATCTGGCAGGGGCCGGCGGCGACGACCCTGCCAGCCTCGCGTCGTGAAGAGCGACAGGGGTGCGATCTTGAGGCTCTGGGCGATGTGCGGCCTCGGGGGGCCCGCACCGGGCTTCCTGGCTGTCAAGAGGTGACCTCGGGAGGAGGCGCCAGTGCCCCGGGCAGACGGCGACGTGGCAGGGGGCTGACGGCAGCGACGAAGACGAGCCAGAGGGTGGGAAAGGTACCGATGCCTCTGTTCGGCCTGGGAAGTAACTCGTGGTCAGACTGCACCCCAGCAGAGGTCCGTGGAGGAGCAGTGTATCTGTACCTGTTCGCCCCCCAGTCGACGCCGCCGACGGCGGCGAGAGGACGAGGACGAGGACGAGGACGAGGACGAGGACGAGGACGGCACGGGTGCGGCAGATCGCGCCTGGTGGTGCCGAGGCCCTGGCCGTGCGGGGACATCTTCTTCCTCTTCTACCGCGAGGCGCCCTCGGGCGGGATGGCCAGCATGGCGGGGGAGGAGGGATCAGGAGTCACCGAGCGCGTTCCACTGCTCGCAGAGTGCCTACTCGCCTGCTCGCAGAAGGTCTCAAAAGCAAGCGTCCGCCTCGACGTAATGGATCTCAAGTCCCCCTCGGCGGATCCAGGCCTTTTGCGAGCAGTTACTTCTCGAGGAGTGGAGCGCGCTGGCCTCAGGAGGAGGGCCAGGAGGACTCAGCCAGCGGGTGGCGCGAGGGGGGGGGGGGACCTTCTGGACCCTGGCCTTCCAGAGTGCTCCAACATGACCCGATCTGGGCTGCTTGAAAGCTCGTCTGGAGTTGAGACGTGAAGGTCCTGATGTCAAGGACCTGTCTGAACCCGGCGGCAGGCGGCACGGGCGGCGGCGGGGCGGGCGGCGAGGCGGCCGCCGTGAATGAGAAGGTCGAGGAGGAGCAGGAGCAAGAGGAGGAGGAGGAGGAGGAGGAGGAGGAGGAGGAGGAGGAGGAGGAGGAGGAGGAGGAGGAGGAGGGGGAGGAGGAGGAGAAGGAGGAGGAGGAGGAGAAAGATGACGTGGACTTTGACATCTCCGGCTGAGCGGGGGCACCTCTGGCGCAACCCCCTTTAGAAGGTCCAGGAAGGAGGCCGGGAGCTTTTAGGAAAAGGCGGGAGCGGTTCTGAGGACGACTCAGACGGGGCGCCCTGCCGAACCAAGCCAGACCAGGACCACGCAAAAGGCAGAGAAGGTCCGGAGCGAAACGATCCAAGGCTGGCTCCATCCACCCTCACTAATGGAGGATGACGATTAGAAAAAACCGGCCGCGGGCTGGAAAACTATTTTTTAAATCGTTCTCCTCCAGTCAGAAAGTTGTACAGAAATAGCAGAAAACTATGTTTTTAGTCGGTCTCTCCTATTTTTTCTTAATCGTCATCCCGCATTAATTCGGTGGGCCCTCTGCGGGCCCCAGCCGCGTGGAGTTCCGAGGGTGAATGATGAAATGATGGTGACATGGAAGATCGTGAGATGTATGCGTAGAGTCAGGCTGGGAGCGGCCTCGCGCATGTCGACGCGGCCTGCAGCAAGCTGGCGCGTCATGTCGTCGTGCAGGCGCTGTTTCCACTGCAGCAAGGGCCAGCGCGCGGGCGAGGAAGTTCGCGTCCTTCGCCCGTGCATGCGGGAAGGGTGCGCGTGAAGTGTGCTTGCGTCGCTCCTCCTCCTCCTCCTGCTCCTCCTCGCGTTCCTCCTCCTCCTCCTCCTCCTCCTCCTCGCGTTCCTCCTCCTCCTCCTCCTCCTCCTCCTCCTCCTCCTCCTCCTCCCTCCTCCTCCTCCTCCTCCTGGCTCTCTTCCCCAGACAGGCGACGTCGTGACTCGCTTCCCAACGACGCTCCCCCAAAAGGTATGGACCCCCCCTCCCCTCCCCGGGGACCCGCTCCTCCTCCCGCGCCATTGAACTACGTCTCCGGGGTCCAGCGAGGGCCCCACGCCCAACAAAAAAACCTCCCGCGCCAGGACGTCGTCCGGCCTCCTGGGCACCACTCGGTCGGTCTCCTCCGGCGGCCGACCAGGACCACTGGTGCGGGCAATACTTCTGTCCATATCCACTGCAGTACGGTAGGTTCATGCGGCGTTGGCGCGCCAGCGACGCCGGCAAATGCGTTCAAGGTAGAATTCTGTGACGCGGAATCACCGACGGACATTGTAACGCCATTGGACCCGACTGAATTCAACCTTGAACGATCGGGGCCGCGATCGGTTCAAGGTTGAACGATCGACGCGGTGTCAAAAACTTTTGCGTGCGCCGACGCCGCGCGAACCTACCGTATGGAGTTTCGGGCTCCCTTCCCCAGAAACCCGAGGCACACTGTACATGGATCAATTTGCCCATCGTAGAGGCCAGGTTTTTTGATCCATATCCAGTGCGCCTCGGCTTTGAGGCGCTCCTTCCAAAAAAGTTCAAGACGCACTGGATATGGATAGAAGTCTTGTCCGCAACTGGGGCACCCCTGGAAGGCTTCCGACGAGGCAGGCGCAGTTGCCGGCAGGCCTTTCGAGGCGAGGACCCCGTCATCTCGTGCGTCAGCGCGGGGCCCCCCGACCTCCCAAGGGCCATGCCTTCGGACCGGTTGTTCATCCCGGGCCGTTTTCCGACGGCCCCGCGGCCCGGCGCAGGGCCCCCAGAGGCCGAAGGAGCTGGCAAGCGTGGTCCGTCGAGCTTTTCTCACGGTGCGGGCGCGTCTGGCGGGGCTCCTCGCGCCTCGCAGGCGCATCCCCACTTCTGGCTCACTCTGGCGAGGGCCCCCAGAGCTATGGTGTTCCAACCTACTTTAGCCTTGATCACCAGAAGGAACTTCGAGCGCCAGAAAAGTGCCCCCAAACTCGAGGGTTTTCGCGTGCCGGGCCCTGGGAGACACTGCTTCGACACTCTTTCGACACTCGTTCGACACTCTTTCGACACTTTTTCGGGGTGCTCGAAATTATTTCTGGGATGCGGTCCTTGAGTAGGACGGGAGCAACATAACCCCAGAGGTCGAAAAAGCTGTCAAGCATGGGCCGTCGAGCTTTTCCCACGGTGCGGGCACGTCTGGCAGGGCTCCTCGCGCCTCGGAGGCGCATCCGTAGCCACTTTTGGCGCAATCCGGCTCGGGCGGCCCTGGACCCCAGGCAGGCCGCGCCAGCGCCGGCGCGGGCGCTCGGAGGCCCCGGGCGACGCGGGGTCCAGCTGGAGAAGGAGTCGAGTCGTAAGTCGGGCCTGTCCTCCTACAGGGGGGTTTTCGACGAAGAATATAATATACCCCCAGAGATAGTCAAAAAACAGTCCAAAAATAGTATGGGGACTATTGTTTGAGTATTGTTTGACCTTTTTGGGGTATTTGTGGGGTATTTTTTTGATTTTTCGTAGGAGATCTCCCTGTAGGGGGACACGCCCGACATAAGTCAAGTCGGAGGCAGATGGCTTGATCCCCATCGCGTCGTGAGACGGTCGCGACAGGAGGTTCGTGGCAGTGTTCGGCCTCGGGGGGCCCCCGCCCGGCCCCGGGACCGTCAAAGGACTGCCCGGGAAGGGACATCGGCCCAAAGGAATGGACTGGGGCTTCCATCGACTACACGTAACCCAGACCCCCTCGAGTAATGAAAAAATCATGACGGGAGGTTTTTCCTAATTTTCGGCCTCGGGGGGCCCTCACCGGGCCTCGGGAGTGTCAAAAAACGACTCAGGATGCAAAGCCGGTCATGGAGAAAGGGTCGGGACCTACGGGGGTCGACGTAATGAAAAAATCATTACGTCGGGGGTCTGGGAAGAGTGACCCTTCGCCGGAGTGACCTTTGGTGCGCGCTCACTGGGATCCTCCGATCGCCGCGCTCGGTGCGATAGTAGCGTCTTGCGCGCTTGTGCTTGGCCTTCTCGCGCCCCCCGAAAAGCCGCGCACCAGAGGTCCCTCTTGCCCAGGGTCACTCTTACGTGCAGCCGATTCCAGGGGCCCCGTATGAAAACAAAAACAGGACTTCGCACGTCTGGGCATCCTAGCCTAGGGCGCCGCGAGGTCTCTATCTGCTGGGACTCCCTGCCCAGGCTTCCAGACATGCGCACGGCATCTTGACTAACACAGCGCAGGGTCCCCGGGAGTCCCGAACTCACTCCCCTGCAGGGCCGGTTGCTCACCCCGGGTCGTTTTGTTGACGGTCCCCGGGGCCCGGCGAGGGACCCCCTGCAGAGACCGAGAAGAGCCAAAAGCTTCATTGCCAGACCCCCTCGAGTCATGAAAAAATCACGACGAGGGGTTTTTCTATATTTTCAGCCTCTGGGGGCCCTTACGGGCCCTCAGGACAGTCAAAAAACGACTCAGGATGAAAAGCCGGTCCTGGGGAATGGGTCTGGACCTCTGGGGGCCGCCCGGGGCCGCGTCATGAAAAAATCATGACGTCGGGGGTCTGGGTTTCGTGATTTTCTCACGACGCGAGCATGGGTTGGAACGCTCGTGCTCGGCAAAAGCGCCACGCTGGAACGCACGTCGTGGGGCCGCTGGAACGTTGTCCCTTCCCAGAGACCGAGAACAGCCAAAAGCTTCACGTCGTGATTTTCTCACGACGCGAGCATGGGTTGGAAGGCTCGTGCTCGGTAAAAGCGCCATGCTGGAACGCACGTCGTGGGGCCGCTGGAACGTTGTCCCTTCCCAGAGACCGAGAACAGCCAAAAGCTTCATGTCGTGATTTTCTCACGACGCGAGCATGGGTTGGAAGGCTCGTGCTCGGTAAAAGCGCCATGCTGGAACGCACGTCGTGGGGCCGCTGGAACGTTGTCCCTTCCCAGAGACCGAGAACAGCCAAAAGCTTCATGTCGTGATTTTCTCACGACGCGAGCATGGGTTGGAACGCTCGTGCTCGGTAAAAGCGCCATGCTGGAACGCACGTCGTGGGGCCGCTGGAACGTTGTCCCTTCCCAGAGACCGAGAACAGCCAAAAGCTTCATGTCGTGATTTTCTCACGACGCGAGCATGGGTTGGAAGGCTCGTGCTCGGTAAAAGCGCCATGCTGGAACGCACGTCGTGGGGCCGCTGGAACGTTGTCCCTTCCCAGAGACCGAGAACAGCCAAAAGCTTCATGTCGTGATTTTCTCACGACGCGAGCATGGGTTGGAAGGCTCGTGCTCGGTAAAAGCGCCATGCTGGAACGCACGTCGTGGGGCCGCTGGAACTTTGTCCCTTCCCAGAGACCGAGAACAGGCAAAAGCTTCATGTCGTGATTTTCTCACGACGCGGGCATGGGTTGGACCGCTCGTGCTCGGTAAGAGCGCCATGCTGGAACGCACGTCGTGGGGCCGCTGGAACGTTGTCCCTTGTCAAAGTTGGGTGCTGGAACGCACGCCGTTGGCTGCTGGAACGTTGCTCCTCGTTCCACGTATTGCCACGATCCGCCTGCTGGGACCTCAACTGAGCGGCGAAGGAAAACGGGGTCGCCTTTACCGACATTGGCGCGTAGGCTGCCCACGTAGGGTCGCGCGTAAGCGCCCTTGTTTCCAATGTAGCGTGCCGCGG